TGTTTTTGTTCAATCATTAATGAAAGTGAAATAGTTAAATAATAATTCGCTTTTAGCAGACAGTTTGGTTCAATTTTGTCAAAATAAACTAAGAAACATCGCTGATGAATTATTCACTTGCAAGTGAATAATTCGACCTCATTGAATCCGTATTTATGTGACCTTCAATTTAACCCCTTAGCAGGAGATGGGTTACGCATGTATTCAGCTATTAAAAGGAAAAGAATGTCAACATTGAAAGTGAAACAGGAATGAACCACTTGGTTGACTGATTCGATCTACAAAAGTCATTCTTTTACAGGTAAAAACGATGATAAACAGACTTTTTTTTACCTACAATATCAAATCAAACAGACCTAGAAAAATCCAATTGCACGTGTTCACTATCTACTTATATTCATATTTATGTTTATATCAGGTTATATGACCGTCGGCAGTCCGGATAATTAGATGACGTCTAGACAAAATAACACACCAAATGTTGATGCATATTATCGAGTCTATATAAAAAAGAAGATGTGGTATGATTGCCAATGAGACAACTCTCCACAAGAGACCAAATGACACAGAAATTAACAACTATAGGTCACCGTACGGCCTTCAACAATGAGCAAAGCCCATACCGCACAGTCAGCTATAAAAGGCCCCGAAATGACAATGTAAAACAATTCAAACGAGAAAACTAACGGCCTAATTCATGTACAAAAAATGAACGATAAACAAATATGTAACACATAAACGACAACCACTGAATTACAGGCTCCTGACTTGGGACTATGCATTGTTAATTGTTTATTTTAGACTTTTTGTAATTTGGATATACGTTTTAGTATGGTATAAATCAAATATGAAAATTTGAGTCAAATCAGTGAACATGAATTTGACAGCTAATGCCCCTTTAAAGTTTCATTTAATTCCAGAAGTGATTTGACGTAATAAAATTAAACAATCAAACAAGACTTAGCATGATAAGAGTCACATAAACTCTAAGTGGATTAATTGCCACCACCCGTCCTACATGAAGAGGGTTAGTTTTAAAAAGGGTCTTGTTCAATTCGGTATGCAATAGTGGTACATTGCATTTACAGGATCCATTACTAAATTCAATTTGAACAAGTTTTGACTCTTATTAAAATGACAAAAAAACCTTCATAATTTACTATCTCATTCAATTCCCTCAGCTATTCTACGACCCATAGAATCACAATCAAACTTCGACTCTTTTTCAAGGTGAGTCTCGTTTAATTATTTAGTTACAACTATCATTGAGCACAACTGAGCTTGGTCAACGGAAGAGATATCTTTTCTAAAGATTTTGGATGAGGAAATTAAAGACATTGGTGTCAGATGGAAGCAACTATAGAAGAAGTTATTCGCAGTGTTTAATACAAAATATAGATGTTGGATGTGTAAATATATTCGAAAAGAGGGACGAAAGATACCAGAGGGACAGTCAGACTCATAGATCGAAAACTAACTGACAACGCCATGGCCAAAAATAAAAAGACAAACAGACAAATAATAGTACAGATGACACAACATAGAAAACTAAAGACTAAGCAACACGAACCCAATCCAAAAACTGGGGTGATCTCAGGTGCTCCGGAAGGGTAAGCAGATACTGCTCCACATGTGGCACCCTTCGTGTTGCTTATGTTATTACAAATCCGGTAAATAGTCTAATTCGGTAGGTCACATTCGTGAAAAGGGAAGGGTATTGTAGTTACGACATAAGGAACATATCCGATATCATCTGTGAAACGGTTATTCCATAACGGTCAACCAACTCGTGATGGCGTCCGTAAAATTTACGAAGGGATGATTTCAACTGTACCTTTTGGAACTCTTGGTTTAATAGCTTCCTTGTGAACAGCAACCCTCTATCAAGGAAATCATGATAGGAAATACAGGCTCGGGAATATCGAATCAATTGGAGATATATACTCCGTATGCAGGCGCTGCTGGAATGTTGCTACATAGAAATGGAAAGTTCACAATTGGGAAGCTGAAATCATCTCTTTTGTCGTAAAGTTTTGTTTTCAACCGACCCTCATTGTCAATTTCTAGATGTAAGTCAAGATATGAGGCAGACTTAACTGTATCTGTAGTATCCTTTATCTCTAGTTCGATAGGATAGATTCGTTCAACATAGTCACCAAAGTTTGTATTATTTAGTGAGAGAACATCATCTATATAGCGGAACGTAAAGTTAATGTATACATACATAAAGGCGAATGTTCGAAGTTATTACTATGATAGTAAATCGCATATTGCTTCTATTTATATCGGAATGAGTTATTTCCGAGAATGGGTCAGTGTATATGGAATTTGACTTTTGGAAAAAAGTAAAATAACAAAAAAAGCGAACTCCAAGGAAAATTCTAAACGGAAAGTCCCTTATCAAATGGCAAAATCAAAAGCTCAAACACATCAAACGAATGGAAAACAACTGTCATATTCCTGACTTTGTACAGGCATTTCCTTATGTAGAAAATGAAGGAACAAACCTTGTTTTATAGCTAGCTAAACCTCTCACTTGTATGACAGTCGCATAAAATTCCATTATATTGACAACAATGTGTGAATATACCTTGATTTAGGTTTGGTATATTTGTTTATTATTCTCTACATTTATTCAATTGGTTTCACTATATTGATTGTTTCCTAAGTGGTTAAGATTTTTCGGTCACAATCCAGAATTAAAACATGAGTTTACAAAAAATCATATATATATGTGATGGAATGCTTACCTAAAAAAATATATGTGAATTATCAGCGAAGACTCAGCACTTCATGGTCATGTTTTTTTATTACGACTGCTTTCAATTTATGTTCATATATTTAAGAGTTAGGCCGTGTTCACACCTAACGTCGCGTAGTAAACTTGTTCACAATCAGTTTCATGTAATTAACACTGGTTTCACATTAAATTTGTTCTCGTCTGTACATCAGTTTTAATTATCTGTACTTGAAAATTGTTCACACCAGTAAACAACATTTACACGTGATTTATGTGTACATTACATAGAATTGAATTAAAATTTTCTCCGTAAACTTTTGTGTCACTTACGCGCAGACCAATCATATTTTTTGGGGGGGGAAGGGAGAGGGGGGCTTGAGTGGTAAATAAATTGTTTAATATGTGTTTCAGGAGGGAAGTGAAAAGAATCGTTTGATTCCATTGAAAATGAAGGGCGGGTAGTTTTAAAATAGAGTTTTAAAATATTTCCTGAACGTATTAAAAAAAAATGTTTTTCTTTCATAACAGTAATAAAAAAAAATGGCTTGTCCCACAAAGATGAATGATCGGTACCTTGAGAAAATCGTTCTATTGATTTGGAGAACTTTGAGCATTCTAAAGATGTCACGATTACGCAGGCTGAACAGTGTAACAATAGGTGAAAAAAGGATTTTGAAAATGATTGTTTTTTGGTTGTTTAACGTCCAGTGGCAAATATTTCATGCATGTTCGGAACGAGAACAAATTAACAATAAATACAATAGGTAGGTCCTGTAATAGAGGCCGTCCGAGATGACAAACGGGGCAATTTGGATTTTTATTCAATATATATAACTTTTTAAGTATTCATTATAAAATCCATGTTCTTAGTATATTTAAGAGAATGATAATCCCTTTCTTCATGATTAAGTACGAGCGTTAGCGAGTACTTATCATGACGTAAGGGATTATCATTCTCTTACAAACTGAGAATATTGTTAAGTGCTCAAGGCTCAAATGGTCGTCTCTTGATTGGTGGTATTCAAGAATTAGTTTCATTGTCAGTGTAAATCAAATGTTTATAATTGATGCATGACTTCATTTTTCAACATTTCATTTATGGGTTAGTTTCAGTGATGTAAGGACTTCCTTATAATTTGGGAAATATTTTTAAAAAATGCGTTATAAACATTAGGTGACACAACAGTACAAAGAAAAGGTAGGAATTGTATATGTTTCCTGATTGTGAGTATGAATGTAAATCATGTAATATTTTATTGAGGAATTATCTTTTTTTTTTACAGTTTAAATCAATAAATGCATTTGAGTTACAACTAATTTTATTTCACAGCCAATATTTTGGTCCGGCTTTTTAAATCAAATACTATTTCATTATGTCAGGAAAATGTTGTAATAAAATGCCTTTAATAGTTTTAAATATATTAAAAACTTAAATCAAATTTTCCGTTTATTTTATCGGAATATTGGAAATAACTATTCTTTCAAACCGCTGGTTCAGTAATCAGAGTTTCGGAAAGCTAAAGATTGAGGTTTTTTAATTTAAAACTTTTTTTCTCTTTTTTTGAATAACTGTGATATCGTTTATTTTTTTTTTTTTAGTAATTTGAAGTAATTTATATTTTCATAATAACATTAAAGGTGCAAATTTTACTGCACCAGTAAACTTCAACTTATTTTGATTTGTTTGTTTGTTTCACAATTCAACTTTTAGTCAGTTTCAATCACAAATTCTTTCAATCTGATAAATGTGCTTCGGGGTAGTTGTAACTCATTTATAGAAACTCTTTGTTTTGAACTGTAAATAGACCCAAATAATAGGATACTCCCTTACTTGGAACATGATTTACATTCATTCTTCACAATTAAGAGACACCAAATCCTACAATTTCATTGGTCGAGAGCACTTTGCTATATTCTAAGGCCTTTAAGAGAATAATATCAATTTCTGTACGCGAGACACGTTTTTTTTCTAGAATAACCGTCATCAAACTATTAAACACGATGACACCAATCGTTTTCGATTGTAAAATATCTTTTGGGGTATTTCAAACAAAAAATACCTACACAGAACAGCAAAAATTCCCTACGCTCAACTGAAGTATATTTTTTCTTATTATAAACTCTACATTGCAACAAACCAAGTGATTTATGCCTTTAAAATCATACAACTTTCAGCCATGCAGGTCCGATCCCGGAATTCGTTCTGCATCTAGTACAAATGCTACTATGAGGCTAATTTTGCTATAAAAGAACACGTGCGAATTTTTTGTATGTACATTCAATAAAATTTGCAAACATATATTTGCCAGTGCTGATCATAATATAACATTGTTAAATGCAGACAAGAGCAATTTTCCTATACTATTTGTGTTCATCGTAACAAATGATAGAAGCTGTAAAATACAACAAAGCATTTGAAACGATAAAATATAATAAATGGATACCAAAACCTAAACAAATGAGACCATCGTTCTTGTCCGAAGAATTTAAATGGTACATCATTTATTAAAACAGTCTCAGAGTCAATGAAGGTGTTGATTGCCCAAGAACATAAGTTTTCAACTGCAAGAAACAGGCACAAATATTCGATCGACCTGACGGAATCAATGTTAACGGTCTTTTGATAATGCTTCATTTGCAAAAGAAATACCGTTTGAAGATATGTCGAAACCATACGACTGATGTCAAGCAATATTTTCGTTTTGTCAGTATCTGATTTGATTTTATCCAGACTCGATATTCTAGCATACAGTACTACCGTGTAGTAAGCCATAATACCAAATGAACTAAGGAGGAGAATGTACTGATTTGCTCTGCTTGTGTATTGTTCCCTGCGTATTTCACGAGATCGAAGCTCGCACTGGTTTTTCATCATATAGAAACATCTTAAATTAAGGTACAATATGACGAGTTGTTGGACTATATTGTAAATTGTAGAGGCAAACTCTGTAATTGATTCTTCGTTTATAATGTTAAGTATGTGTAAAACTACTGCCGGCATATTTATTATAACAGCCAAAGATATACTAATAAACTTCCGGGTTCGGCGGTTGATATCAGTGCTGGAAGTTGTATTCAAACTTAAAAAGGCAATTTCTGTTTGATTTGAAGCACGTCGTCTCTCTACTAACCGGCTTGATTCTTCGTAATCAATACTTTCATAAACGTTCTCGTAACCTCCGGAAGCTCTCTGAATGTCGTCGCTACAAGATTCCCTTGGCCAAACTTTGGAAAGAAATATCATTGTTAGTAATGAATATTCGAAGAGTGCTGGGTGTAAAAAAGGCTTTGAGTTCTTTAAGATTACAAACGTGCTAACTGACATGTTATGACATTTGTCAGTAACTGTAGCATTCCAATGTGAATGTGACAGTGGGTCATGGTAAAGGATAGCAAATTCGTGACAAAATATGGAAAGATTTGTAATAACAATTATCAATAATCCATAGTACACACCAATACGATGCTCAAATCTATAATGCAGGTACCGAGTAAAAAATCCGGTCTGAAATAAATAGAATAGAAGGAATCCGACATCATTGGCGATTAAGACGGAAACGTTAACACGCTGGTGATTTATATGAAAGCACTCAATATGAAAACATAATTTTATAATCACATAAGCTAAACAAGCCAAGCTAAATAACCAGTAAAATCGGATTTCGAGAGCAATGCTAATATTCCAATCATGTGTGTTTCTGTGCACATCTGGTCTTGTCTGTGAATATATTGATATAGCAATGCAGGATGCTACACTGAGAAAAACAAAAATGGTCATTAATGTCAGAACACTGTTATGGGACGAATGTGACCCATGGGAGCTGAGGGAAAATATTTGACAAAGTATTGCTAATGCTGTGATACACAAAACTGGTCCAGTAACAGTACCATCAAGTCCAGGCGAAACACCATCAACTCCGGTATTACGCTTTCTTGACAGTTGACCGGCGGTTAAAGGAAGCACAAATACAGCATCAGCAAGTTTTTTTAATAATTCTTCCATTTCTGTAAAAAAATAATGATGTGATAACAAAATAGTGTTTAAGCAAAGTCGTATAAAACTGAGTAGATGTATTTATCTAACTTGTATGTTTACTATTTACGGAGTATAATATTTTTATTCTTTTCAGTAGATGTAAACCTAATAATCCGAAGTTTTAACAACATTTTACAGACAATAGTGTACCCTGTGTTCGTCCACATGTTGGTATCATATGTGTCATTGTATTGCTTTATTGTATCGTTGGATTGCTATGATTTTTTACGAAAATTTGCATACAAGCTTCGGTAGGTCACATTCGTGAAAAGGGAAGGGTATTGTAGTTACGACATAAGGAACATATCCGATATCATCTGTGAAACGGTTATTCCATAACGGTCAACCAACTCGTGATGGCGTCCGTAAAATTTACGAAGGGATGATTTCAACTGTACCTTTTGGAACTCTTGGTTTAATAGCTTCCTTGTGAACAGCAACCCTCTATCAAGGAAATCATGATAGGAAATACAGGCTCGGGAATATCGAATCAATTGGAGATATATACTCCGTATGCAGGCGCTGCTGGAATGTTGCTACATAGAAATGGAAAGTTCACAATTGGGAAGCTGAAATCATCTCTTTTGTCGTAAAGTTTTGTTTTCAACCGACCCTCATTGTCAATTTCTAGATGTAAGTCAAGATATGAGGCAGACTTAACTGTATCTGTAGTATCCTTTATCTCTAGTTCGATAGGATAGATTCGTTCAACATAGTCACCAAAGTTTGTATTATTTAGTGAGAGAACATCATCTATATAGCGGAACGTAAAGTTAATGTATACATACATAAAGGCGAATGTTCGAAGTTATTACTATGATAGTAAATCGCATATTGCTTCTATTTATATCGGAATGAGTTATTTCCGAGAATGGGTCAGTGTATATGGAATTTGACTTTTGGAAAAAAGTAAAATAACAAAAAAAGCGAACTCCAAGGAAAATTCTAAACGGAAAGTCCCTTATCAAATGGCAAAATCAAAAGCTCAAACACATCAAACGAATGGAAAACAACTGTCATATTCCTGACTTTGTACAGGCATTTCCTTATGTAGAAAATGAAGGAACAAACCTTGTTTTATAGCTAGCTAAACCTCTCACTTGTATGACAGTCGCATAAAATTCCATTATATTGACAACAATGTGTGAATATACCTTGATTTAGGTTTGGTATATTTGTTTATTATTCTCTACATTTATTCAATTGGTTTCACTATATTGATTGTTTCCTAAGTGGTTAAGATTTTTCGGTCACAATCCAGAATTAAAACATGAGTTTACAAAAAATCATATATATATGTGATGGAATGCTTACCTAAAAAAATATATGTGAATTATCAGCGAAGACTCAGCACTTCATGGTCATGTTTTTTTATTACGACTGCTTTCAATTTATGTTCATATATTTAAGAGTTAGGCCGTGTTCACACCTAACGTCGCGTAGTAAACTTGTTCACAATCAGTTTCATGTAATTAACACTGGTTTCACATTAAATTTGTTCTCGTCTGTACATCAGTTTTAATTATCTGTACTTGAAAATTGTTCACACCAGTAAACAACATTTACACGTGATTTATGTGTACATTACATAGAATTGAATTAAAATTTTCTCCGTAAACTTTTGTGTCACTTACGCGCAGACCAATCATATTTTTTGGGGGGGAAGGGAGAGGGGGGCTTGAGTGGTAAATAAATTGTTTAATATGTGTTTCAGGAGGGAAGTGAAAAGAATCGTTTGATTCCATTGAAAATGAAGGGCGGGTAGTTTTAAAATAGAGTTTTAAAATATTTCCTGAACGTATTAAAAAAAAATGTTTTTCTTTCATAACAGTAATAAAAAAAAATGGCTTGTCCCACAAAGATGAATGATCGGTACCTTGAGAAAATCGTTCTATTGATTTGGAGAACTTTGAGCATTCTAAAGATGTCACGATTACGCAGGCTGAACAGTGTAACAATAGGTGAAAAAAGGATTTTGAAAATGATTGTTTTTTGGTTGTTTAACGTCCAGTGGCAAATATTTCATGCATGTTCGGAACGAGAACAAATTAACAATAAATACAATAGGTAGGTCCTGTAATAGAGGCCGTCCGAGATGACAAACGGGGCAATTTGGATTTTTATTCAATATATATAACTTTTTAAGTATTCATTATAAAATCCATGTTCTTAGTATATTTAAGAGAATGATAATCCCTTTCTTCATGATTAAGTACGAGCGTTAGCGAGTACTTATCATGACGTAAGGGATTATCATTCTCTTACAAACTGAGAATATTGTTAAGTGCTCAAGGCTCAAATGGTCGTCTCTTGATTGGTGGTATTCAAGAATTAGTTTCATTGTCAGTGTAAATCAAATGTTTATAATTGATGCATGACTTCATTTTTCAACATTTCATTTATGGGTTAGTTTCAGTGATGTAAGGACTTCCTTATAATTTGGGAAATATTTTTAAAAAATGCGTTATAAACATTAGGTGACACAACAGTACAAAGAAAAGGTAGGAATTGTATATGTTTCCTGATTGTGAGTATGAATGTAAATCATGTAATATTTTATTGAGGAATTATCTTTTTTTTTTTACAGTTTAAATCAATAAATGCATTTGAGTTACAACTAATTTTATTTCACAGCCAATATTTTGGTCCGGCTTTTTAAATCAAATACTATTTCATTATGTCAGGAAAATGTTGTAATAAAATGCCTTTAATAGTTTTAAATATATTAAAAACTTAAATCAAATTTTCCGTTTATTTTATCGGAATATTGGAAATAACTATTCTTTCAAACCGCTGGTTCAGTAATCAGAGTTTCGGAAAGCTAAAGATTGAGGTTTTTTAATTTAAAACTTTTTTTCTCTTTTTTTGAATAACTGTGATATCGTTTATTTTTTTTTTTTAGTAATTTGAAGTAATTTATATTTTCATAATAACATTAAAGGTACAAATTTTACTGCACCAGTAAACTTCAACTTATTTTGATTTGTTTGTTTGTTTCACAATTCAACTTTTAGTCAGTTTCAATCACAAATTCTTTCAATCTGATAAATGTGCTTCGGGGTAGTTGTAACTCATTTATAGAAACTCTTTGTTTTGAACTGTAAATAGACCCAAATAATAGGATACTCCCTTACTTGGAACATGATTTACATTCATTCTTCACAATTAAGAGACACCAAATCCTACAATTTCATTGGTCGAGAGCACTTTGCTATATTCTAAGGCCTTTAAGAGAATAATATCAATTTCTGTACGCGAGACACGTTTTTTTTCTAGAATAACCGTCATCAAACTATTAAACACGATGACACCAATCGTTTTCGATTGTAAAATATCTTTTGGGGTATTTCAAACAAAAAATACCTACACAGAACAGCAAAAATTCCCTACGCTCAACTGAAGTATATTTTTTCTTATTATAAACTCTACATTGCAACAAACCAAGTGATTTATGCCTTTAAAATCATACAACTTTCAGCCATGCAGGTCCGATCCCGGAATTCGTTCTGCATCTAGTACAAATGCTACTATGAGGCTAATTTTGCTATAAAAGAACACGTGCGAATTTTTTGTATGTACATTCAATAAAATTTGCAAACATATATTTGCCAGTGCTGATCATAATATAACATTGTTAAATGCAGACAAGAGCAATTTTCCTATACTATTTGTGTTCATCGTAACAAATGATAGAAGCTGTAAAATACAACAAAGCATTTGAAACGATAAAATATAATAAATGGATACCAAAACCTAAACAAATGAGACCATCGTTCTTGTCCGAAGAATTTAAATGGTACATCATTTATTAAAACAGTCTCAGAGTCAATGAAGGTGTTGATTGCCCAAGAACATAAGTTTTCAACTGCAAGAAACAGGCACAAATATTCGATCGACCTGACGGAATCAATGTTAACGGTCTTTTGATAATGCTTCATTTGCAAAAGAAATACCGTTTGAAGATATGTCGAAACCATACGACTGATGTCAAGCAATATTTTCGTTTTGTCAGTATCTGATTTGATTTTATCCAGACTCGATATTCTAGCATACAGTACTACCGTGTAGTAAGCCATAATACCAAATGAACTAAGGAGGAGAATGTACTGATTTGCTCTGCTTGTGTATTGTTCTCTGCGTATTTCACGAGATCGAAGCTCGCACTGGTTTTTCATCATATAGAAACATCTTAAATTAAGGTACAATATGACGAGTTGTTGGACTATATTGTAAATTGTAGAGGCAAACTCTGTAATTGATTCTTCGTTTATAATGTTAAGTATGTGTAAAACTACTGCCGGCATATTTATTATAACAGCCAAAGATATACTAATAAACTTCCGGGTTCGGCGGTTGATATCAGTGCTGGAAGTTGTATTCAAACTTAAAAAGGCAATTTCTGTTTGATTTGAAGCACGTCGTCTCTCTACTAACCGGCTTGATTCTTCGTAATCAATACTTTCATAAACGTTCTCGTAACCTCCGGAAGCTCTCTGAATGTCGTCGCTACAAGATTCCCTTGGCCAAACTTTGGAAAGAAATATCATTGTTAGTAATGAATATTCGAAGAGTGCTGGGTGTAAAAAAGGATTTGAGTTCTTTAAGATTACAAACGTGCTAACTGACATGTTATGACATTTGTCAGTAACTGTAGCATTCCAATGTGAATGTGACAGTGGGTCATGGTAAAGGATAGCAAATTCGTGACAAAATATGGAAAGATTTGTAATAACAATTATCAATAATCCATAGTACACACCAATACGATGCTCAAATCTATAATGCAGGTACCGAGTAAAAAATCCGGTCTGAAATAAATAGAATAGAAGGAATCCGACATCATTGGCGATTAAGACGGAAACGTTAACACGCTGGTGATTTATATGAAAGCACTCAATATGAAAACATAATTTTATAATCACATAAGCTAAACAAGCCAAGCTAAATAACCAGTAAAATCGGATTTCGAGAGCAATGCTAATATTCCAATCATGTGTGTTTCTGTGCACATCTGGTCTTGTCTGTGAATATATTGATATAGCAATGCAGGATGCTACACTGAGAAAAACAAAAATGGTCATTAATGTCAGAACACTGTTATGGGACGAATGTGACCCATGGGAGCTGAGGGAAAATATTTGACAAAGTATTGCTAATGCTGTGATACACAAAACTGGTCCAGTAACAGTACCATCAAGTCCAGGCGAAACACCATCAACTCCGGTATTACGCTTTCTTGACAGTTGACCGGCGGTTAAAGGAAGCACAAATACAGCATCAGCAAGTTTTTTTAATAATTCTTCCATTTCTGTAAAAAAATAATGATGTGATAACAAAATAGTGTTTAAGCAAAGTCGTATAAAACTGAGTAGATGTATTTATCTAACTTGTATGTTTACTATTTACGGAGTATAATATTTTTATTCTTTTCAGTAGATGTAAACCTAATAATCCGAAGTTTTAACAACATTTTACAGACAATAGTGTACCCTGTGTTCGTCCACATGTTGGTATCATATGTGTCATTGTATTGCTTTATTGTATCGTTGGATTGCTATGATTTTTTACGAAAATTTGCATACAAGCTATTTTTCACCTAGTCAATGCAAATATGTAATAAAAAATATACCTTCATGTGCTACTTTAAGAGATAAATGGGGTCGAAATTTTAGACATTTACTCAAAATTTCGTTTTTTAGAACATTTCTATCCTTTGGATAGACATACATAACTTTTTTGTTTCAAAAGATAAACACAATAGGATTTTTGTAAAAACATTTGGAAAATCTCTTTTACATAAGTATGCTCTAAGTTTTTATAACAATTCTTTGGAAATAATTAATTTTTGTCAAAGTTTCAGGATTTTAGGAAAAAAAACGCAATTTTTTGCTGTATACTTATCTAATTTTAAAAAATCTCATCGGTGACCTTTTCATAAAAATTGGTACAAATAATCTTCATACGTAATCAATCCTTATCTCATTTTAAGAAAGAGGGGTCCATGAACTCGTTTTCAAGTTAGATCAGCCTGAATGATAAAAATAAGTCGAAAAATGCATCTTTTACCGATATGTCGCAGTTTGACGTCGCGAAAAATAACATTTTACGTTGGCAACGTCATTACCTCCCATGTAACGGTATCGTATGCCCTTAAAAAAATCTTGATATTAACAAATGAAACTGATTTTAGTGTGCTAAATACGTATGCACTTACAAAGAACTTTATTTTGAATGTTGCAATCTACGTTTTAGTACAAAAACATGCTTTGGACAATACATTGAACATACAATGTGTAACTAGTAAATTATTAAGTTACAACAATTTACTCAAAACCTTAACTCTTTCTTAGATACAAAGGTTTGGTTCTGAAGTTTGGCTGTACCTGTAGAAACCTTATAACTAACGTAATATCACATCCTAATTTTTACGATGATGTTGTTTATAGAACCCGTACATTTAGATTTTGAACATGTTTTGTTATACGGTTATGAACACTTATGGTCCTACATTCTGTCAATACTTATATTTTGGCATTGCACAATGTCTTGCTTCTGTAATCCTGTTTTAATATAACGTCATTTCACTAAATCTTGGATGTACACTGATTCTTATGTACGTCTTGGAAAACATGGTTTATTTATTAGTTGAAAATTGGGTTTGATCTAGCTTTCAGTAACTGCAAAAAATCGTAGAACGGTACTACGTGTTTTTTTTTTTTTTTTTTTTTTTTTGTCATGTTTTTTTGTGGTTGTTCGAGCGCATTTGATGAGTCAAGCCATTTCAAATTATTATTTACAGTTTGCTCTTATGTTGTGCTGTTACACCACTGTCCTAGGTTAGGATTAGGGTTGAGCAGCTTGTCATATCGGGGCCTTTTTTAAGCTTACTATACGGCATTAGTTCTGCTCATTGTTGAAGGCCGCATGATGATCTATATTTGTTAACATCCTCGTCCGTTGGTCACTAGAGGAAAGTTGTCTCATTAGCACCCATACCACATATCCTTACTTTTATATTTATTTACATCAACTGTAGTCAAAATATTTTTTTATTTATTCATGTAAATATTGCCACCAAGGCTTCTCGCGTATGCTACTCTCCATAACTAACAGCACAAAAGCATCGGTACAAACCCCATGGTAGTGATTAAAAAATACTTTATATTCAATTTATAACGCATGAAAGGTATTTATGCAAAACCAAGCCCAAAATTGAGTCTAACAGCTGTATAGAAAAAAAAGAATAGACAAACAGGGATATTGGTGAAATCAAAAACGGACGTATATTTTCCAAAAGAAAGAAGACGAAAAGTGAAACACCAGTCCATAAAACATTACCCGAAAATCTAAAGATCGACCAAGACGAATCCAATAAAAACGGCTTAATATTGAGTTTTCTATGTAGTGTTAAGTGGAAGCTCGGGCAAACAGATGTTACTCCGCTTAATGATTGAAATAATGCGAGAGGCGTGACCAGGGGACGATAATATTGAATCTTGTTTGTCTGAAGGATACACCAACAGAAGGTGATTAATTAAAACGATGTGCTCTTTGCCTTTTTTACAAACAAAATTTCACCTCATGCCTGATGCAGAAATAAAAGAACTATGATCAATGTTTTTTATATGTATGTTTAGTAATGTACATTGTTTACGAATAACTTCGCTCATTTGTCTCAATGCAGCTACAATAAACCTTTTTTTTTCTTTTATTCAACAACATATTGCACTTCTGCTTTTAACAATTTACTTCACTAGTACAGCAATCTAGTGAAAGGTCCCTGTATTTTTTACCAGAAATCCAGGGTTACTCTCTGGTAAGCATTATTATATTACATATAATAAACTTGGTTCCTCCCCCCCCCCCCCCCCCCCCGTCATTATAAGTGGGTGTTTCCGGAGTATAATCTTTTACGTAGCCTTTTCAACCCAGTTAAGAAGTGGTTACTGGGTGATAAAAATGGAAAATTCTTGCATATATATTTTTCCATAGAAGGAGTCGATGCCAACATTCTTCAACACAAAAAAACCTTATCATCTAAGATTCCAATTTGCATTTTTAGAAACAGTCCAATACTATTGAATCTTACACGTATTCTTAAACTTTAGTACTTAAAAATGTTACATTATGGAAATTCGTTGTAAATCACCATTAGTTATCAATATTTATTAAAAGATATAGTTACGATTCTGATTTACATTTTGTATGAAGAAGTTAACTCTTACTTTTCTTCTCGTGTCAACTAAAATAAAGGGTTCTATGGAATTAAATCTTGACAACATATTTATACAGAATACTTTTTTCATAAAACCACCAAATTTGCTTGAATGTTGTAGATATAATGATTGGGAAGTATAATACAGAAGCAACGAATGAACAGAGATATCATAGGTACATACATTTGACAAAACGTAAAATACATGTAAATAAAGAGCGTATTTTATTACTGATTTTCATCTTAAAGCAGCAGAGAGGCCTTAAACAGGGAAAAAGCCCGGCCCCTAGCACTGACTTTAGCAGAAGTCTTTGCCAGCAATATCATTGTCAAATCAAGGAAACTTTTGTAGATTAAAATAAAACTAAACTGTGTTGGTTCTTACCAGTATATTACATGTCAATTAGAATAATACTTTAACTGTTGCATATCCTAAATGGTTTCTTTTCTAGTATCCAGCCAGTAAAGTATACATCAATATTTAAAAGTAAACAGTCTTACCTCTAACTTCTTCAAATACGGAAACTTAACACACAAAGAAAAACTGTCAGGAAGAGGAAACATTTTTTTTGATACACGCAAGTAAATAATACCCGTGTTTCATATCCATTGAAAACAATGTAAAATTTGATTTATATTTCCTTGTTATAATCATTTGAAATGGGGAAGCTAAGATATGTTTTGAAAGGTATTTTCTTTATTGTTCAAGTAATTGTATGTTTAAATTGCATTGCTTGTAAATCATAAATAATATCATTAAATTTATTGTTTCCAGGTATACCCTTGTAAATAGTAAATGTTCAAAGTACACAAGATTCGTAATACTAATACATTCCAAATGTATATTGAGTACATATAATCCTCCTCTTGTAATAATATAGAAACATTTGACACTGCCACTTTTTACACAAATATTGATCATTCTAAACTGAAAAGTGCTATATTTTTATTTTATCATATATTTTTAAGTTTGGTAGACATGTTTTCAAGGAATAGTTGGCATTCCAATGGAAACATACTGTAACCCTATCACCGACTAGTGTGGGATTTGTAATATAAATACCTGCCTAAATTGAAAACCGTATAGTGACATCTAGATTCCTTATGGTTGTTGCTGTCATTGAGCTGCTGAAGGTCAGATGGGAAAATGGTGGTCTAAGTATGAAATGAACATTCTGGATGCAGAAGCCTATTTTTAAATATCTATAAACAAATATATCAGACAGAACTGTAAGTGAGTATTTACGTTGTACCTATATAGAGTAAATAGTGGTGATCAGTATATTCACAAAATCTGGGATTGTTTTTTAAACGTATAATTGCACATCTAAAAAGGAATTATCAAACATCCAAATCTATCAGTGGTGTTTGGTTATCTCCTAACCACCAAAGTTTAATTTTAGATTTGAACAAATCAGCAATTAGAATACCTGTAACTTGACGATATATTTTGTCATAACATTTGACATAAATATCATCAAGCACAAAATAAATTGCTATAATCGTATTTGTGCATGTCCCATTAGAGTTGTTATTGGAAGTTTTATTACTGTAAAAGGAATGTTTTCTATTAAAGATATAGTGACATCCCGATTTATCGAAAAAACATTTGATTAAATTATGAAAATTTCTGTTTTTACTATATTATGATGTAATGTCGTGTAAAAGATAAGGAAAGACCGTCAACGGCAACAAACTGTCTCTCAATGGAACGCATTTCATCAAAGACTTCCACAGAATTTTGAACACTACAAAGTAGTTATATCGTTATTATTATAAATTGTATTACAAAATGGGTAACATGTAATTAGTTACCTTATATAATATAGAGAACCATTATATGTTAACACCTTATAGTATTCAGTTAATTTGAGTTGTGACGTTAACATGATCATCGATGATACTACCGGTACCGTTTCTGACTAAAAATTAGCATCGGAAAAACTAAATTTATTCGTCTCAGTTTAAATATCTCAATGTAACGAGTTCGTCAAAATACACACAAAAACGCATTTCATTTATTTATTATGTTTTTAAGTTTAATTGTGCAACAATGATAAATAAGCTGAATGTGTGTGTTTATTGAACAGCACATGTGACTAGTTGTCAGCATTTCAACTTATACATTAAGTACTGCAATAAGAAGAGCGAGAGAGAGATTCTTTGAATACTATACAATAGTTTTGTTTTTCGAAATGACATAGGTAAGAAATACGTTTAATAAAGGGGCATTAGCTGTCAAATTCGTATTCACCGATTTCACCTAAATTTTCATATTCAATGAATAACAAACTAAGGTCATGCGTTTCTCAGACTATTTATGACGTCTTTACACTTCTTATTCCGTTGGATTTGCACTAATTAATACTTTAGTGTGGGAGAACATGATTTATTTATTAGTTGTCACTCACTCACTCATCCTCTTCGTGCCTGTCAGCACATAAGGCCTCAACAACTCCCAATCAAAGTTGCCTGTCTTGTGCCTTCTTCTCAATCTCCTTCCATGTCTTCACAAGGTCTTTCATCTCAGTTTCTACCATTCTACGACAGTTCTCTTTTGTCCTCCCTCTTTTTCTTCTACCATCAGTTGTCCATCGCAAAGCAATCTTGGTAATATCCTCATTTCCTTTCTTTAATACATGACCAATCCAACGCTATCTCTTCTTTTCATTTCCGTCTCTATATAACACTGATTGGATTTGTGGTACAGGTCTTTGTTGGTTATTTTATTTGGCCAGATGATCTTACAAATTTTCCTCAAGCAGATGTAATGAAATGAGGAAAGCCTTTTCACGTCTGATTTGATAATTCTTCAGCATTCTGACCCATATAGAAGAACTGACTTCACATTGCTGGTGTATATTCTAATCTTCGTTTTCATGCTGATTGACCTTCTATTCCATATTGGCTGTAATTGGCTGAATGTATAATATGCTTCCAAGATATGTAAAGTCCTCAACATCTTTCATGATGTTATTTCCCAGGTACACTGGTTGTATTGTGTTACTGTTGATATTCGTGAGCTTGATTTTCTCATTTATAGTAAGGCCTATACTTCGTGCTGTTTCATTAGGTCCGATGATTTTGTTCTGCAAGTTGTTCCTGTTGATGGAAAGAAGAGAGATATCAGCAAAGTCTAAATCCTCTAGAAAGGAATTCATGGTCCTTCTGACGCATGTGACTCCATTTCCTAATGTTGTTCTCATACACCAATCTATTGCTGTGATGAATAAGATAGGAGATATTAAACACCCTTGTCGTACTCCAGATGTTACTTGGAACCATTTTGACTGTTGACCGATATGTAATATACAGCATTCATAATTTTTGTAGAAAGCTTGTATTCAGGTAAGTTCACCATATGCTCTAAAGATGGCCAATAAGCAACTTCTTTTAATGCTGTCAAAGGCTTTAAGAAAGTCGATGAAATTTATAACGAGTTTGTTTTGTCACTCTATACTTTGCTCTATTATATTTCTGATGGTAAAAATATCGTCGATGCATCCTCTACCTGATCTAAACCGTGCTTGCTCTTTTCTCATAATTTCGTCTTTAGCATCATTTATTCTGTTAAAAGTACTCTCAGTAGTATCTTGTTTGGTACTGACAGCAAAGTCAGCAAAATACCACGCCTGTTGTTGCAGTCACTTCTACCTCCTTTCTTGGGTAGTTTAATTATGAGACCCTTTGCCCAGTAATTAGGGACAGTGCCATGTCTCAAGATGTGTATAAACAGTTCATTAAACACGGTTGTGCTGATTTCTATATCTGCTTAAAGTATTTCAGCTGTAATGGCACCCAAGCCAGGTGATTTCCATTTCTTCAGTCTGAGTATTGCCTTCCTGTTCTCATCCTTTGATACTTCCCCAATAGCTATATTTAGTTCCACTCCGAACTGTTCTATAACTGGTACATCCCCCTGCTGTTCAATATTCAATGTTTCTTTAAAGTGTTCAGTCCACCTTTCCAGTTGTTGACTTTCTGAGGCTAAGACTTGACCATCCTTAGACTTACATAGTACACTGGAGCCTGTGTATTTACCACTTAATTGCTTTGTGATTTTAAAGTCAGTCCTAAGTATTAGTTGTAATTGGCTTTAAAAAATTAGAACAACACGTTATAAACTTCATGCGTCCGAAGCGTTTTTCTGGATTTACCTTCATCAGGAACGCTCAAAGCATAATATTTGAAAGCCAAGGATGTATAAGAACCGAAACAGTTGAAGAGCTATATAACCAAAAAGGACGCTTTCAGTGACTGCGAGTATCCTTATATCGGTGCTTTCTGTCTATTGTTTATGTAAGTTGGGGTTTATTTGTGATTCGTGCCGTTTTTTTTTTGTTTTTTTTTCAGTTAAGCCAATTGCAACATGATTTTTACAGCTCGTTCTTATGTTGTGTTATTATATCACTGTCCAAGGGTAAGAGGAGAATTGGGCGCTCACAAACATGTTTAACCCTACCACTTTCTGTATATGCCTGTCCCGAGTTAGGGGCCTGTAGTTCAGTGGTTGTCGTTGGTTCATGTCTGTCATATTTGTTTTTCGTAAGTTGTTTTGTTTTTATTAGGCCGTTAGTTTTCTCGTTTTTACATTTTTCAAGTCTGGACCTTTTAAAGCCGAATATACGGTATGGGTTTCTCATTGTTGAAGGCCGTAAGTAATTGTATCATTGGTAATCATACCAAATCACCGTAATTTATATAAGACATACATGTTTTGTATATCCAACGTTTAAAGTCCAGAAGAAACAATCAACAATGCATGGTCTCGTTAAAATGTATTAGCGATTTTTTCGTATTTTAGACTAGACTCCATCTAATTTTCCACCGAGATGACCTCCGAAGACTGCCGACGGCCATATAACCCGATATAATCATTAATAGAAAGACAAGCACGTGCTATCGTCTAATGGCGATTTTTCTAGGTCTGTTTGATTTCATGTTAAAGATTAGAAATATATGCAAATCTACGTTTTACCTGTTTAAGAAAGATTTCTTATGGGCTGAATCACTCAACTTAAAGGCAATTCCTGATGTCTCCCTTTTTACGCTTCAATGTTGACATAATTTTCTTTTTAATTGAATGAACACTCTTTCTACATGCTAAACACATGCGCAACTGATCTCCACCAAATGTTAAACTAAAGGTGACATGAATACGGAATCAAATGAGGTTGAATTATTGAATTGTAAGCCAATAATACATCACCGATATTTTTTAGCTCATTTTGACGAAATTGAATCAAAATGACTGCAAATAGCGAAATTTAAATTCTATATTCCGCTTTAACAGATGTTTGAAACAAAAAAACATATTTTGATTTTTTGTCCAACTCGTACCTAATGCCCCTTTCGTATTCGGAAAATTAATTTATCGGTCTAAGAGAAGATGTGTAATGTTTATTTTTCATGCTCAGAATGTTTTATATATTTTGAAAAGCATAACAGTCCATTAAAAAATGCTTCTATAATTTATTGATTGGTAATTACTTTACGCCGCATCAGAGCAAGGTGCTACTTCGAGA